GTGCTCAATAAATAGTAGCTATAAATTATTATTATTATATTCTCTTTTGAGTCTCACAATAGCCCTGTGAGGTATTATTATCCCCATCTTACAGAAGAAGAGACTGAGGGTCAAAGAGGTTAAGGAGAGGCTCAAGACCACACAGACAGAAAGTGGCAGAGGCTGGACTTGCACTGAGATCATAGGACTCTACTGCTGTTTCACTGAGCATTTTGGAGCCCCTTTCAGTCTCCAGATGAAATGATTTTACCCTTATTATAGAGATTCACATCCTTTCCTTCTCCAAACATGCCCTGACTTTCCCAGGCCGATGGCACCAAATATTTACTGTACAATTACACTGCCGTGATTGAATTTAGCCAGAGTAAGGGAGGCTGATTAGCGGCAAGTCTGCAACTCTGAGAGCAGGAAATAGTTCCCAGGTTGCACACTGTAATCCTGCTGGGGGATGTTGCTTAAAATTGTCCTGGCTCAGGCTTACCTTCTCTGCAAGGGTGAGAGACACTCCTTTGCCCAGTGGGCTTCGGAGTCAAGCTGACAGTACTGGAAGTACTGTTGACAAGGTCCAGACTATCACTTTATGGTTCAAGGGATGACATTTTATGATGTGCCCACAAACCTTCTTCCAACTGCTATTGAAAGCCCTGTAATGGGGCCGGGCTAGTGGCATAGTGGTTAAGTTCATGTGCTCCTCTTAGGTGGCCTGGGGTTCACTGGTTTGGATCCCGGGCATGGACCTACACACCGCTCCTGGAGCCATGCTGTGGTGGCGTCCCAATCACAAAAAATAGAGGAAGATTGGCACAGCTGTTAGCTCAGGGACAATCTTCCTCAAGCAAAAAGGGGAAGATTGGCAACAGATGTTAGCTCAGGGACCATCTTCCTCACTAAAAAAAACGTATAATATAAAAAAAGAAAGAAAAGAAAGTCCTGGGGCCGGCCCCGTGGCTTAGCGGTTAAGTGCGTGCTCTCCGCTGCCGGCGGCCCGGGTTCGGATCCCGGGTGCGCACCGAGGCACCACTCCTCCAGCCATGCTGAGGCCGCATCCCACATACAGCAACTAGAAGGATGTGCAGCTATGACAGACAACTATGTACTGGGGCTTTGGGGGAAAAATAAATAAATAAAATCTTTAAAAAAAAAATTAAAAAAAAAATAAAAAAAATAAATAAAAAAAAAAAGAAAAGAAAGTCCTGTTGTCAAGGACCAGAAGGACAGTGGTTGTGTGTTCTTCTCTCAGGCTAAGGAGACAAGGATGCCATTTATCAGAACCAATGTGTAAGAGGAACACACACAGAAGAGAGTCCATTTTTTGGAAACACTCTCAGCAGTTTCCATGTGGAGAATCTGTGAGGCTCTTCACAGCAGTGGTTCAAAATGCCCCTAAGTATTTGCAAAGCTCATATTGTAATGCCAGCTGTATTGAGAATTTTCCCAGGCACCCACCATGAGATGGTGGAAAAGGCACCAGTATATTCTCAGGTCTGACCTTAATGAGCCATGAGATCTTGCAGAGATAGAGTCGCCTCTCTGAGCCTCAGTTTCCTCTTCTGTAAAGTGAGTGACTTGGACTCTATTTAGACTCCTCTAGCTCTAAGATTTTATTAGCCTACGAGTCCATGAACCAAAAGTTCAAAACTGGCTATGTGCCCTCATAAAATGGCAAAGATTTGGGTTTTAGAATCTGTGTCTCTATTAGCAGGACCCAGACCTGCTCTAGAACTTTTTGACTTAGTGGTTTTCATCCCCCTCCTTGAAACGACTGCTCTCACTCAATCCCTGAAGCCTTGCTCCACTACTCAGAATTCCATTTAATTCCACAAACGTTGACCGAAGACTTTCTGTGTTCCCAACTGTATGGCTACAAAGATGAGTGAGACTAGTTTCCCACTTCTGGGAATTCACAGTGAGATAGTGAGGTCAAGACTTGCCAGAACTTCTTTTCTCCAGAGATCTCTCTAGTACCTAAACTAGTGGTTCTTAGAGTGTGGTCCCTGGACCAGACATCGACTTCACCTGAGAACTTGCTAGAAATGCAAATTTTCAGGTGTCACCCTGGACCTACAGAATCAGAAACTCTGGGAGTGTGGCCCACTGATCTTAGTTTTTAACAAGTCCTCTAGGGAATTGGGAGGCATGTCAAGTTTGAGAACCACTGAACTGGCCCTTTCAGGGACAAGCTGCAAAACTGTGGTTCTGAGCTCTCAAGGGACCTGAGGAGATGTCTTGAAGAAAACTCAGTCATTTGGGCTTCCAGCACTCATTCTCAACTCACAATCACAGCTCCCTTGGAACCTCCAACAACATTTTGAACCTTTGTGGTATTTTTGTAAATGTCTAGGCATTGTGGAAACTACTCATTTGTTTTGACGGGAACTAATCCAGTTTAAGCACATAATTCCCCATGGAACTTCCAGGCTTCCCTTTAAATCAGTTGTGATGCTTGGTGAGATGTTGATGCCATGACTAAGACCCACAGTAAGAATCCCAGTTCCAGGAGGACCCCCTGCTTCCAAAGATCTCCAGAGGAAGAGAGTACTCAGGGGGTCGGTCCACTGTCACCCTCCCTCCCTTCCAAGGAGCCTTCGTTAAATGTCCTCCTCTGTGGCAGGGTCTGAGCCTGGCTCCTGTTCTCCTCAGCAGGTGGGCCACATTCTCCCTGCAGTAAGTTCAGATGTGAAGGATGGGGCAGGTGTGGCTCCTGGAGAGAGGCCAGTCTGGGTCCTGGCCCTTGTCTTTTTTCCTGGGAACTGCAGGTCTCTTGTCCACTGCTCTGACCCAGGGCCATATGCTAGACCATACGCACCTTCGTGAAGCTTAGAAAAAGGCACCGCCTCCAGGTGTCTCTCAGGGCGGGCACAGCCCTTGGGGCTCAGGGCTTGGCTGGATTTCAGCCCACTTGCCGCCGTGGGCAGGGGCCTGTGTGCAGCACAAAGTACACAGCCATAAGCAGCAGCTTGCTCCTACCCAGGCTGGGCCCGGCACAAGTGAGGGCTGAGGCAGGAGAGAAGTGGGGGGCGGTGTGGGCAGAGGAGAGCCTGTGTATGCAGCTACCACATGTTGGAGTTTCCCACATGCCAGGCCCAAGGCTACGCTCTTTACCCTCATCATTTCCTTAAATTCTCACAACCAACCAATGAGGTGGGTATTAGTGTTGTCTCCATATAGTGTTCCTTTTTCTAAATTATAAAGGATTTTCAAACTCTCAGAGCCTCCATTTTCTCTTCTATCCAATGGGTATAATACTCCTAGCTCTTTTCTTAAGAGCTTGTTCTGAAAATCAAATGAGACCATAGTGATGAAAGCACTCTGGAAAAAAGATTTTAAAACACCCTACACATGTCAGGTTTAGTATTGATCTTATCCCTGGGTTCTAAAAAGCAGTTTCTGAGGGTTCTGGTTTGAGAAACTCACCTTAAATTCACACATTCACACAGCCCCCACTGTTGGATGTGAATGCCACAGAAGGTAGGTTTCCTGCCAGGATACTGGCATTTGGGGTGCTTCCTCCCCTAAATTCATTAGACTTGTGAAGCTGCAATGGATGAGGTGTGTGTGCAGCCGCTCAGGGGCGAGTCATGGCCTGGCAAGCCGGCCTGGACGGGATGACCTCATGGGCCTTTCCCACTTATTTTGATGACTGAATTCACTGTTTCATTTTTGGCTTTCTCTCTCTTTCGTGCAGCTGTGGTGATTGGGATTTAGGGCAAGCATTTGGGATCCCTTTCTAATCCCTGTCAAATCCAGATTTAGCTGCAAAGTCCGTGAAAGGGACAGGGGAAGAGAGGGGAGAGAGGGGGGACTCCCCCTGGCTGGAGGCAGTAGCTCAGAACCTCTGAGAAATTGCAACAGGAATGCCCAACTTCTAGCCTTGGAGGTAGGAGGCCTCTCATCTCATCCAATATCATCCTCTTCCCAGAATGCAGAAGGGATGGGTTTCATCTGTGGACTCAAACCTCCTATAACCTTCTTGCTTGAGTGCATAAGGAATAAGTATGGTGGTTGCAGTGGTAAGGAAGAGACTTAACATTCGCCTTTTTCCAATTTAACTGCGTCCTTTGTTGAACTGTTTCTTGGCTGGGTCCCTTCTCCATTTCCACTACTGCCCCCCTGGTTGAGAAGGAGTCCCCTTCTCAACCGTATTAGTGCAACAATGGTCTGGATCGCCCACCTTCCAAACTGCTGCCACACTCAATTGACTTTTTATTATGTAACTGCCCTATAGGAGAGATAAGTTACATAATATGATGCTAATTTTATTATGCCCATCACCTGTGGCATCATGTACAAATTTCTCAGTCTGAATTTAAATGCCCTTTATAACCGACTTAAAGCTACCCCTTCAACCTAATTTCTATCTGCAACTCCTAGCAGTTCCTTTATCACTTATTCTGTTAGCCAACATATTCATGCCATCTTGGGTTGTTGTTGGTGTGTCTCTCTCCATTTGTTTCTTCTCTCAATCCAAACACTATGCATCCATAAGCCAGCTCATGTCCCATGTCCTTGTCCTTAGCCCACTAATATCCCCGTTCTCTGAACATCTAGTGCAAGCACCACACATTTTCTTACTAGCTGTTCTTTCCTTTGTTCTATTAGTCAAGTCTCCCCAGATAGACTGTAAGCTTCTTGACATTGGTCCCTATCCTAAGTTGCTTCTATATTCCCTTTAGTATCTAGCCAAGCTTATGTGGGATGCAGTAAATAATAAATTCATTTTGACCCTGATCAGATGTTTGCCCACCTAAAAACTGCATTGATGACTTTCACTGAAGTGTTCATTTATCTTGTGATAAGAAATAGTATCTGTTTGTAGCCAATGCTCATGATCACCCAGTCATGCATGTATGTACCCTGACGACTTTCCTGAGTGGGGAAGAAAAATGGATGAAGATTGGAGGTTTGACAGGTGATCCCCGGCCCTAGGATTTCCAACAACAGCCGACCTGCACTGGGTCCTTAACACTCTTCTAATGCATTGGCCTCTCTTCTTTCCCCAGAGAGTTCCTGTGGGAATAAGCGGGCAGACCTGGTCTTCATCATTGACAGCTCCCGCAGCGTCAACACCCAAGACTATGAAAAGGTCAAGGAGTTCATTGTGGACATCTTGCAGTTCTTGGACATTGGCCCTGATGTCACCCGGGTGGGCCTACTCCAATATGGCAGCACCATCAAGAACGAGTTCTCCCTCAAGACCTTCAAGAGGAAGTCTGAAGTGGAGCGTGCCGTCAAGAGGATGAGGCACCTGTCCACGGGTACCATGACGGGGCTGGCCATCCAGTATGCCCTGAACATCGCATTCTCAGAAGCAGAAGGGGCCCGGCCCCTGAGGGAGAATGTGCTGCGGGTCATAATGATTGTGACAGATGGGAGGCCACAGGACTCAGTGGCTGAGGTGGCTGCAAAGGCACGGGACACAGGCATCCTGATCTTTGCCATTGGTGTGGGCCAGGTGGACTTCAACACACTGAAGGCCATTGGGAGTGAGCCCCACGAGGATCACGTCTTCCTGGTGGCCAACTTCAGCCAGATGGAGTCACTCACCTCAGTGTTCCAGAACAAGTTGTGCAGTAAGTTCTGCCCTTCTGTGGCTCTTCTAGGGGAATCATTAGGATTCATTCATTTATCTTCCAGTGTTCATTCCGTGCTACCTCATCCCAGGGACTGTGCTGGCAAGGGGTGTTCAATAAAGGCCAAGACAGACACAATGTCTCTTGAGGCTTACCCTCTGGCCGAGGAGACAGATAGTAAGCATATAATTACACAAATAAGTAAGTAATTGTAGTTCTAACAGTGTAATGGAGGAAGAATTCAGGCCAGGACCTGACCTAGGCCAAGGTGCTTGGGGAGATTTCCCTGGGGAAGGGACATTTAAACCCAAACTGCAGAATGAGTAAGAGTAGATAGGTAAAGTTTTCTCCAGCACATGGAACTGCCCTGGCATTCCCTAAATTGGAATTCATGAGTTGGATTAGGGATGGGAATGTGAGGGCAAAAATAATAACATAATTTATCCTTGGACGGTGTGGAATACCAAGCATTTTGGCCCCATAGTGGTGCTACCAGTGGATGTTTTCTTAAGTGACAAAGAGGCCCCAGTGTATGGAGAGGACCAAGACGTGGTCCTGGTGCCTTGCCACTCCCCAAGTCCTTGAGCTGCATTCTTCTACTTTAAGGGTCGTCTTCCCTTTCTTGCTTTCTAATCCTACTCTCCACAAAGCTTCTCTTTCCCTTCCTTGCCAGACTCCTCTCAGTTCCTCCAACCCAAGCACCTCCCTCAGCATTTTCCAGAAGGCCAACTTGCTCTCTCCCGTTTCCTGCTTCTGCAGCTGTCTTTTTGTCCTTTCCTCCTCCTAGAGGGGAGGGGCACAGGGTGCTAACCCAGGCTCCACTCTGGCCCCTGAAGACTGGAAATTTGCCTTCTGACCTGGTAAACAGTTTGTAATCCTGCCTTGCCCATTGGTCCCTCTCCCCTCCAACTGCCATGCTTCTTTGATGGGAAAACAAAAGGAAATATCTATTTTGAAATGACTAGTATTTCCCTGGAGTATGAGTGGAGAATGAGCTTAAGGACTGGACTCATCTCCAATTCCCCAGGAGCAAGAACCTGCCTCTCTGGGGGCCCTGAGGACCAGTTCTCAGAGTGTAACAAAGCCTAGACGCCCCCCACTGAAGCCTCAGCGGGGGAGAACGGTGTGCTTTTGATGTGTCTTTTTAAACAAATCTCCTGCTGAGAACTAACCTCAAAAAGCACAGACCCCATTGTTTCTTGACTCCAAAATCAAAAGATTTACTTAAAAAAAATCAATACCATGAAGGAAAAAGAATCTTTTTCTCTGCAATGTCACTTGGAAAATGTTAGAAGTGCCATTTTCCCTGGCGCCGCGGAAGGGCTGTGTTATTGTGGTGTGCTGTAGCCTAAGTCACCTGGAAAACTTCAACCAGTAGAACGCGCTGCAAACATTTTCAAGGTTTATGACTTTAAATGACTTCTGCAGAATTTACGTTCCCCTTTTCCTGGAAATATTAAAAAAAATTGGTTCCATAATAGTTTTGACGGGTTTATTCATTTGTCTTGGAAAATGTTAAATGGAGGAGTGCTTTTATAAGCACTCTGGATTTATCAGCAAATGGAAAGGTAGGATGATGAGGCCGAGGATGTGGACTTGTCCTCAGAAGAAACTTCTCTGTGTGCTTTATGGCCAGGCAGCAAAATTAAAAGGCAGTTTGGATTTTTCCTCTCTTTGTTGTAATCTGGAAGCTCTAAGAAAAGCTCGGTATCATGCCATTCTTTCGTTTGTGTGGCTTGAGAACCGAATCCCCCCACCCCAGAAGTAGGTGCTCTTATAATTCCCACAGGAGACCAGCTTCTCTGCCACTGCCTCGCAGGGCTCTGCTGAGCAGACTCATCAACTGTCTTGAGAGGTTGAGGAGGCCCCGGGGCCTCTTGATCAACTGTGCAGTAAAGATCACAATAATAAAGCACTTTCTCTGATGTTTTCACATTTGAACCTTACGAAAATCTGGGGAGGCAACACAATAGTCTCCTCCCTCTTTGCAGGTTAGTAAACTTGTTAAGTGAATTCCCAAGAACAAACAGCCAGGAGACGGTGGGTTCTGCTTCCAAAGCTCTTGCTCATTGCACGCCTCCGCACGTCGGGAGTTATAAATTCCTCCTTTAAGGTAAACTATTTTCTGGTGGCAACCTCCACAGTGCAGCCCTGCTTGGTAAGCCAGCTTTGAGGGTGACATTCACCTCAGAGTGACGGGAAGCCTTTGCACAGTGAGGAGGAGCAGACTGGAGTCTCAACGACCCCACCTACCAGCTGTAGGCTCCTGAGCAGATCTGTAAAATGGGGGCTTTACCTGCAAGAGTAGATGTGTGAACGGGCATTATAAACTGTAGAGCCCTGTTCAGTGTGCACCATGCTTTGTATGATAACAGTGAAATGTACGCACCAGCAGGCCAGGCAGGTGGCCTGTTTTGATCTGTGCTCTGATTATCAGACAACAACGATGAGCATCTTCCAAGTTGCAGATGACATCTCTGAGGTTTTGGAAGTCTTGTTTGTTCCTTAAACATTTATTGAGCTACACTCTGATAATAACAACTAATTTTGTCCTGGGCTAGGTACTCTCCATACATTATTTCATTTAATACTTAGAACAGCCCAATGAGGCAGATACGACTATTATCCCCATTACAGAAATGGAAACTGAGGCTTAGAAAGGATAAGCAACTTCAAATCACAGCGTTGGAGATTCAGGTTGCAGTCTCTCTGGCTGCACAGCTCTTACCCTCCGCACGCCAGGCCCGAGGGTTCTGGGCTGGAGGGAAGATGCTCTCGTTACAGAGAAATGGGATGTTGGCTATACAACGCGTGCACTTCAGAGGCCTTGGAAAGTCACCTAGCTCTGGGGGGGTCTCTGATGGAAGAATGCCTGGGTCTGCCTAAGGGCTCCAGGAGAGATTTATAGAAGAGATTATAGGGGCCGGCCCGGTGGTGCAAGTGGTTAAGTGCGCGCGCTCCGCTGCGGTGGCCTGGGTTTCGCTGGTTCGGACCCCGGGCGCGCACTGATGCACCACTTGGCAAGCCATGCTGTGGCGGCGTCCCATATAAAGTGGAGGAAGATGGGCACGGATGTTAGCCCAGGGCTAGTCTTCCTCAGCAAAAAAAGAGGAGGATTGGCAGATGTTAGCACAGGGCTGATCTCCTCACCAAAAAAAAAAAAAAAGAAGAGATTATAATCACTAACATTTATTGATATTAATATGTGCCTTTGCTATCTTGAGCTATTAGCATATGTTAACTCATTTTATTCACACAACAAACCTATGAAGTAGGTGCTCTTATAATTCCCATTTTACAGAAGAGGAAATTGAGACTCAGGTTCAATAATGTGTTCAAGGTCAGACAGCACTAAGTGGTAGATCTGAGATGTGAACCCAAGCATTCTGGCTCGGAACCTGCATCTTAACCACTATGTGCAGCGCGGACTTGGAAGATGAGTAGGCGTTTGCTGGTTAGAGACGTGTAGGAAGGGCAATTGCAGTAAGCCAGGAAAAGAATGGTATTTTCAATTGTTTTTCTCTATTTCATTAAAAAAAACTCCAAACCAAAAAAACAATTCCAGATTCTCTGTTAATTTCGTCTCCTGCTAGGGAGATCTGACCCACAGTTTGAAGAATGCTGACGAAGGGCTAGGCGGGGAGGTGGAGGTCATGGTGCACGTAAGGACATGGCTCCAGAGGGAAGAAGGGCTGAGGCTTGTGTGCTTACGGCTGAGCTGAAAAGTGCTGCTGGATCTGCAGGTCAGAGGAGACAGGCGGTCTCCTTGTGTGATCAAGGCAGGGACCTTTATGGTACAGTTAGGATGGGGTCAGGCTCCGGAGCCCGCCTGCCGTTGAGTGGGAGTCCTGGCTCTGGCTCTCACTGGCTGTGTGGCTGTGAACTTGGGCACAGCGGTGGCTTTATACCCGTGGGCAGTGAATTCCCACACCTACCACAGCAAGGGGGGGCCTCCTGCGGTTGCATTCTCAGGCCACCCCTGAGACCACCAGAGAAACTTGGAGGCCAGGTGTCTGGTGAATTGAGGCCCTGTCTACAAGATGACCAAAACCTACACATCCTGGGGTCCGCCATTTTTGCCACCCAGTGAGAGACACACTGAATTTCGGGGCTGAAAAATGCATCTCTATCCTGAGCCTCCTGATGACTCATTGTAACCTGGGCAGGGCTGCTTTTATTAGCCTCTCAGTACCTGCTTTATCAGCCTAGCTTGGTATTTGAAACCCCGAGGCTGGCTGTTCCTATGCTAATAGCCCCACCCAACCCAGGCCGGGAATAATTTAAGGCCCTAACAGTATTCCTAAGACATACCTTTTATCAACCGGCCTGGGCAAAGTCTGCACTTATTGCACCCCTCTGAGGCCCTGTTATTAAGTGGGAGGCCAGATTGACATCAACAGACGTTGACTTTACGTACCCAGTAATTGTTGCTTTCAAGACCCCCAGTCAGCCCCACCACTTCTTTGATCATTCTTTTAGTCGTTGGCATTCATTAATAAACATTTATGAATATTTATATTTCCTAGTTAAAAAAATCCAATCCTGCCAATGACTTAGTCTGCTGACTAGTGATTCCTTCCCCAGAACATAGAGCCTTGACCCAGTTTTAACCCAGAAGGCCTTCTGGGAAATGAGTCTACTGGCCTGCCAGTGGAGGAGACAGGACTATCGTCTCCCCTTCAATGACACCGCAGAGGCCTGTCCCACGGGACAGCAAGGCATTAGGGCCCAGATACTCTTAGAAACACCCATCACTCATCCATAAAATTTTACAGATAGAAAATTTTTACTCTTAGTAAAAATGTTTGGGATTCTTTTGTTTGAAAGTAACAGAAATTCGACTTGAATTAGCTTTTAAAGAGGGGATTGTATTATATTACTCATGGAAGTAAGGAGAAGAGTAATGAATGACAGCTCTGCTTTCTCTCCAGCTCCTCTCTCGGCTTGCCCTTCCTCTCTGGTCCTTGGGCAGAACATACGTACCCTATCAGCCCCGCACATGTTCTTGCCCTTGGTTTAAGACCCCTTTTTCTCAGTTGTACTTCCTAAATGCCAAGAAAGGACTCTGATTGTCAAACCTGTGCCAATCAATGGCATCCAGGAGTGGGGCTGCCTCATACCATCAGGGAGCTCCCACAGTTACCATGCATTCGGAGTGAGAAGGAAGGGCAGTTTCTAGAAAAAGGGGATGCTACACAGACAAAATAAGTGTTTGTACTGAGGGTTCTTAGACACCATTCGTGCCTTTATTCTACAGATAAAGAAATAAGCCAAAAAGAGCTACCCAGCTTCCTTCACCTTCCCTCACTTGTTTGAGGTAGAGGGGAGCTGGGACACAAGGCTTCTGGCCTTGAATCCAGTGCTCTTTCCATTATACCAAGTTACTGTCTCCTGATTCCAATTTCTTTTATGGTACATGGCAAAACAAGCCTTAGTAACGAGCTGTCACTCCAAGCCCAGTGCAATAGAGCTTTTAATTTCCCCATGTGACAGGTGAAGAGAGTGGAGTTGGAGAAGTAATCCACACAAGGTCATAACAAGTGATGAAGCTGAGCTTTAGTCTATTTCCAGAAGCTGTTCTCTTCACCGCTGTGCTGTCTGCTGCCCAGCGGATATTTCTCCGCCTCACATCTCCTGTCTTCTTATTTCATCTGCCAGGGTCCTGGTAAGAAGACCGGCCCTGGGCTCATCACTTGGGCCTCGGACCAGTGGATAACTGCCGTGCAGCTTGTTGCCTAGATTTTAGACTTCAGTACAGAGGAAAATAGTGACGCGCTGAGTGTTCCTCAGGAACACCCCTATGCCTATAGGTAATTTGACTACAGCAGTTCAGGAAAAGAACAGAGCCTTCCAGGGTGCAAAGCAAATGCAAGTTAAAAATAGGATAATGGGGCCGGCCCAGTGGTGCAAGCGGTTAAGTGCGAGCGCTCTGCTGTGGCGGACCAGGGTTTGCCGGTTCAGATCCAGGCACGCACCGACACACCGCTTGTCAAGTCATGCTGTGGCAGCCTCCCATATAAAGTAGAGGAATATGGGCATGGATGTTAGCCCAGGGCCAGTCTTCCTCAGCAAAAAAAGAGGAGGATTGGCAGATGTTAGCTCAGGGCCAGTCTTTCTCACACACACACAAAAATAATAAAAAATAAATGCTCATTTAAAAAAAAAAACCAGGATAATAATTTTATCCTTATAAGACTGTCAAAAACTTAACGTTTTTTTTTTGTGTGTGTGTGAGGGAGATCAGCCCTGAGCTAACATCCGTGCTAATCCTCCTCTTTTTGCTGAGGAAGACCAGCTCTGAGCTAACATCTATTGCCAATCCTCCTCCTTTTTTTCCTTCCCCAAAGCCCTAGTGGATAGTTGTACGTCATAGCTGCACATCCTTCTGGTTGCTGTATGTGGGATGCGGCCTCAGCATGGCCGGAGAATTGGTGCGTCGGTGCGCGCCCGGGATCCGAACCCAGGCCTCCAGTAGCGGAGCGTGCGCACTTAACCGCTAAGCCACCAGGCCGGCCCTAAAAACTTAACGTTTGATAATCCTGAGTGCTGAAGTTTTGAGGGGTGGGAAGCGTTACTCTCATGCATTGCTGGTGTGAGTCACCTTGCAAGGCAGTTAGGCCACATCCATTTAAACTAGGACCTAGCCCTTGAGAAACAATTGCACATGTGCTCTAGGAGATGTGTTTAAGAATGTTCATCACAGCATTGTGAAAGCAAAAATCTGGGAACTGCTCAAATGTCGACTGATGGGGAAATGGCTGAATAAAATGAGGAACAGTCATATAACCAATGGATAAAACAACTGAAAGGAATAAACTAGATCTAATGTATTTGATCAGCTCTAAGATATACAGTTGGGCCAGGCTGGTGGCGCAAGCGGTTGAGTGCGCGCGCTCCGTTGTGGTGGCCTGGGGTTTGCCGGTTCGGATCCTGGGCGTGCACCAACGCACTGCTTGGCAAGCCATGCCGTGGCGGCGTCCCATATAAAGTGGAGGAAGATGGGCATGGATGTTAGCCCAGGGCCAGTCTTCCTCAGCAAAAAAAACAGGATTGGCAGATGTTAGCACAGGGCTGATCTCCTCACAAACAAAACAAAAACAATATTTTGGGCCTGCCCCGTGGCTCAGTGGTTAAGTGCGTGCGCTCCGCTGCTGGCGTCCCGGGTTCGGATCCCGGGCGTGCACCGACGCACTGCTTCTCTTGCCATGCTGAGGCCACGTCCCACATACAGCAACTAGAAGGATGTGCAGCTATGACATACAACTATCTACTGGGGCTTTGGGGGAAAAAAATAAGATATACAGTTGATTTTCATTATTCTCAGTAATTTTAGTCTATAAAGTCACAGTGAACACTCAGTTAGCAAATACTGAACCAGTGCTCCTAAGGGAAATACAGAGTTAGGTTCCTGCAAGGCTCTGGTCACAACATTTTTGTCAACTGATCAATATGTAATCTTGTTTTATGTGTATTTCTGTTTAAAGACACTTTATTTAATATATATTGTTGATTCATTAACAGTGAACTCACAGCCAACAGCACTATTACTCACGTCTGAACAAAATTTATGTAACACTCATATTCCCTGCCAGGCACATCACAGCCTTCTTGCACTAGGAACACTAGCACACTTCACTGGCACTTCACTTCAGCAAACACTAGCACTTCAGCACTACGCTTGGGCCATTTTAAACAGCAAAATTGCCAACAAAAAGCACAAAAATGCAAAAAAATGTACCACTAAATAGACCTTGAGAAGGACACTTGTTCTCAGTCTGAGAGCTGAAACAAGAAGACAGAACATCGCTTTGTACCCTTGGCTAGGAACGTGCGCATCAGGTGACTCAAATTTTTCATCACTCTGAGCATGTCCACAAATGACTATGAAAGCACTGTGTGTATTGATTTTAGGGTTACAAATAAATTTTAGCAAGTAGGTGAATTTGCAAATGCAGAATCTGTGAATAATGAGGATCAACCTTATACGTCTTCACCTTTTGACATCTCTCAAATTGGGGTACATCTTAGATTCCATGAAAGATGGTATATATATCAATATAGATAGAATCTGTGATTAATATTGAGTGAAAAACCAAGCTGAAGATCAATATATACAGGATGGACCCACGTATGTAAAATAAAACAAAAGACCACCATGCTTCTCCTTTGCTACACATGGTTAACACATATGGAGGATTTCCCTGGGCACTATTCTAAGCACTTTACCATCTTAATTATTTTAACCCTGACAAGGCCCTTATGATGTAGGTGCTATTTTTATCCCCATTTTATACAAAGAGTTTAAGAAAATTGCCCATGGTCATAAAAACAGATATTTGTTTCACACCAAAGTAAAAATGACTGATTGGATTTAATCTATGAACTTTCCTAACGTTATTTTTATCTTAACAGGAGCTAAAACACAGACAGTCATAAACTCAGAACAGTCATTCTAAATTGTATTGTTATGAAATAAAAAAGTTTTACTCTCTTAGTTCATTTATTACCCACCATATTTCTTACTTAGAAGTAAAGAGACATATACTTAAGATATACCATTGAGTTCATCAGTAGCTGAGTTTTCCTAGGCACTGGATTTAATGGGATTGTCTTAGCTTTTGAAAGCCTCTTTTATTTTAGCTTCATAATAACATATTTCTACATGTGGACATCTTTTTTGTTTGCGATAAAACTTGTATAACTTGTACTGTTTGTACTGAGGCTTGTTAATTTTAAATATGTTCAACTTGCATTATATTGAGTAAAGTCATAAATTAAGATGTAAAAAATAAGAGTTTTTATGAGCTCCAGATAGATTTATGCACGAATCAATGTGTCTGAAAGCCGAGGTACTTCAGAAACTAAATATAGAAATATTTTAAATTGAGACATAAAGATTATGGAAACATGGAACATACGAATGCATTTTTTACTTCAAAATTTTTTGTATAACACTTTTGCATATTAAAAAATTACATTACTCTTGGGGTTTATGACCCTGAGAAACTGTTGATTCTTAACCACATCTTCATTTAACTAATAGCTTTTCCTCCAACCTCATTGTTGCCTACTGAAAATCTACATGTTTGCCAAAGCCCCTTCTGGTGTCAGCAAACTTTCTGATTGCCCTGCCCACCAATTGGGTATTATTCACTGAACTGTGAAATTGCTGTTTTTTTAGGTCATTTTTTTTTTTAAGTTAGAGTCTTTTCCTCTTTTTTTTTTTTTGCAGGGAAAGATTCACCCTGAGCTAACGTGTGTCGCCAATCTTCCTCTTTTTTTTTTTCCCTCCCCAAAGCCCCATTGCATGGTTGTATAAGTCCTTCTAGTTCTTTGTGAGCTGCTGCCACAGCATGGCAACTGACAGATGGGTGGTATGGTACCATGACCAGAAAACAAACCCAGGCCGCCGAAGCAGGAGCGCTGAACTTTAACCATTAGACCATCAGGACTGGCTCTTGTAGGTCATTTTTGACCTATTCTTAGTTGGATATCAGCAAGTTCATATGGCTCAGCCTATCATCATTTCCCTTTGACCCTCTATGGCCCTTTATCCATATATTGCTGATGGCATTTATCTAGAACTGTCTTGTCTGAGCAGAGGCTGTAAACCCTCTTGAGGGTAGGGACTACAGCTTGCTTCTCTTTGGGTCCTGCTCTCCTCTTCACAGAGTAGGTTCTGAATAAATGTCTGTTGAGTGGATGAAGTTACAGAAGGCATCATCATTGCCTTAACTTGCTGTCTCTTCTCTTTCAGTGGTCCACATGTGCAGCATCCTGGAGCATAACTGTGCCCACTTCTGCATCAATACCCCTGGCTCATACGTCTGCAGGTGCAAACAAGGGTACATCCTCAACTCGGATCAGACGACTTGCAGAAGTAAGATTGCTTTGCAGATGTGTCTATACCATCCTCCTTGGCTCTCCCGCTCTTTCTTCTTTTATCTGGGCCCATTTAATTCATCTGTGGCTCCTTACCCAACCAAGTCATCATCTCCCTAAGGTTTTGTAACTCATGTATTTTGTGTTGACCCCTGTTCCCTACTCTGCCATCACAGTGCCTGGGCCAGAGCTGGGCACATAGTAGACCATCAGGAAGAGTTTGGAAGATCATTGGAGGCACCTTTGCAGGAATAGCCTCCTTGAATTCATGAGTTGGTGTCCTTTACTTCCAAGCTGTTCTTTAGGGGGAACTGCTGGAGAAACCACTTTTTCATCTATTGTCTCTATTACCTGTACCATGGGGAATTGTTTCCGTGTTTTATTCTCTTCTCTGAAGCATGGCCTTAGGATGAGTTATCAACATCGGCTAGGAATAATTATTCAAGTTCTGGTTTAGAGGTGTGCCAGGATCGAGTTGCTTTGGTGAGGGACACTTCATAGGTCTCCTAAATTAAAAACGGCAAACAGATATAAAGTGTTAATAGAACTCACATTCTCTTTTTTTGGCGAAGCCCCAAAACTAGACAATATGCTGGCATTTGAGCCAGCATGAGGTAATCACCTCTTAGAGGAGAGAATTACCCAGATGCTGAGTTTTGTACCTATACTTTTTTTTTAAGTTGTAAATAAAGCCACTGTAATAGCCCATAGACACCCAGGCTACCAAACCAGGCTTCTTCAAGATATGCGGAAGATCGGCCCACAGGAAGGCAAATAAGACTCAGCTAATCTCACGCGTAGTTCATGCAATGCGTAATTGTTATTATACCGCATGGTAAGCAATTAAGCATTAATGGAAAGCAGTTTGCACAAATGGCTGTAATTAGTATCATCTTAATAGAGCTAAACCACATTTTCCTTTTTTCTTCTCACTTTTCAGTTTTGAGGTTGAGAGTGGTTGGCTAGAGGCCTCCCTGCCCCCCAAGATTAAGTAACATCTGCTTGACTCCTCCAGGTCTGGGGCCTGTAGAAGCTCCAAGCTCTTGGATGCTGTGAATCCCAGGGGACTCTGTGTTCTTGGGCTCCTCTCAGACCCCAGAATCATCCTGATCTTCGGCTCGAAACTCCAACGCTTCTTCAGTTTCCACAACAAAAATCACTCCACACCAAATACTCATGGGTTTGATAGAATTTACTGGAGAACTGGGAGAGCCCAGGAAAGGTCACCTCACACACTGCTCAACAAACAACCTAAACATCTTTTTAGACAACCCCCTGTCCTCTTCAGGAGCTCTCCCTGTCCCTGCCTCCTAGCCTCTTCAGGAGCTCTCCCTCCCCAAGGGGCTTCTCCGCAGAGGACAGCCTCCCACCACCTTGCTAACTCCCTTCCTGTCCTTCCCTTCTTAGGAGCACAAGAAATTCCTCTCCTTGTCTCATGCCCAGCTGAGATCTGGGCATCTGCTGATGTCCATTTTCTTTTTTTTTCTTTTGTGAGGAAGATCAACCTTGAGCTAACATTCATGCCAATCTTCCTCTTTTTTTTGCTGAGGACGACTGGCCCTGGGCTAACATCTGTGCCTGTCTTCCTCCACTTTATATGGGACACGGCCACAGCATGGCCTGACATGTGGTGCATCAGTGTGCGCCCAGGATCTGAACCCGGGCCGCCAGCAGCAGAGCTTAACCGCTTCACCACGGGGCCGGCCCCTCTTTTTTTTTTTTTTTTGTGAGGAAGATTGGCCCTGAGCTAACATCTGCCAATCCTCCTCTTTTTTTGCTGAGGAAGACTGGCCCTGGGCTAGCATCCATGCCCATCTTCCTCCACTTTATATGGGACACCGCCACAGCATGGCTTGCCAAGCGGTGCGTTGGTGCACGCCTGGGATCCAAACCGGCGAACCTCTGGCCGCCACATCGGAAAGTGCGCGCTTAACCGCTTGCCCCACCGGGCCGGCCCCTGCTAATGTCCATTTTCCATGGGCTGGCTCAGTCAAGTCAGAGGAATTTTGAGACCAGCAAATAAAAAATAAAAAGTTATCCCCCTGATGTCATGAGTAAGACCTTCCCCACACCCCAGGGTTTGCCAATTCCCAGCCTGCCCACATCAAGCTCTGAGGCCCTCAGGCTCTCCCAAGTGCTGGTCTGGCCTTGGCTCCCTCCTGTCTAGGGCTGTGGGTGCAAAGAGTGTGAAGCAGAAACTGCCTGGGCTTCAGACAGACCAATCAGGTGAGGGGCAAGGAGGCCCACCTGGAGGAGGGACATGAACCCAGGGCAGTGGTTCTCAAGCTTCAGTAACTAAGAATCACCCAGGAAGCCGACCCCTGGGCCTCACTCCCAGAGATGTAGAGTCAACAGATCTGGGTGGGGCCCAGGAGTCTGCATTTTCAATGAACTTCTGACATAGATTGCTGCCACACTGTGAGATTTACTGGCATCAGGCAGCAAGGGGACAGGAGAGAAGGGCTTGGAGTTAAAGGAGCAGGGAAGGGCTGGAGCCAGGGCTCTGCCATCCCATCTGACCCAGCCATCTAGTCACCTGGAAGCAGTTAAACTACATTTACTGTCAGCGCCAGACTTAACGTACAGTCATAAAGAGCAGTTCTCTCTCTCTCAGGAAAAGATAATTCTTTTGCTTGTGTGCCAGAAATTATATACCAGTAGACTCGTGGAAATAATAGGGTCTTTATAGTCTGCAGACCTGGGTTTGAATTCTGACATTCAGGCTGTGTCTGTCTCACCCTGAGTTGGCTGTTTAAACTCCTTGACTCAACTTCCTCCCCCATAAAATAGGAAGAGTGGTGAGAAATTAATACCTATCTCATAGATAAGTCCTTGTTAGCCTGTGGTTTTGGTCTGGTGGACAGTTAAAGGTGGTGCCAAGGGAAGGCTGGGCCATACCCTGACCTCTGTTTATGAGCTGTTTGCAGGGACCTGTCCCTGCCAACACCTAGAGAGACTCAGTGGGCCTGGAGAGGAATGAGACACGGCTATTTCCATTTCGGGCGTATAAGATGGGCCAGGCAGCATGCAAATGACTGGAAATAAAATAATGAATAAAACAGCAAAGTTCCTGCTCTCCTGGGGCTCACATTCTTGCATGGCAGTAAATCAGATAAACAACCAAGGTAATTGCAACCAAAAGTGATTGCAGCCCAGGCCCAGCTCGGTGTGCTGCACACGAGGTCAGGCCTAACTGTAGCTACTTATTAAGTGTCTGCCATGTGCCGGCAGCTCTCCTGAGGGCTTTTTATCTGTTGTCTCATTTAATTCTGACAACGAGCTCTTGAAGTAGGTTTATCACTCTCATTTTGCAGATAAGGAAAATAAGGTACAAAAAAAAGGTTAGACAATTTACTCAAGGTCATTTGGCTAGTAATGTGCCCAAACCAGAATCCAAATCCTGTTATGTGTGACCCCATATTCCTAGCTCTTAACCACCAGTTGATACTGTCCCATGATCCTTGAGGGCCCCCAGATGGCAGAAGGGCAACCCTGCAACCAAAGAAACTCCTCCAAGCCCAGAACAGGCAGGTTCAAAGACTCGTTGCTCCTAAGAGAGACAACTAATTCACCAGGACTAACATTCAAATGATTGTCGTTACCCCAAGTCCACTACCAACTTCTGTGATCCTGTCATTGTAGAGAATGATTGTAACAGGGCCTCTTAGGTGATTGCTTTCAAATACAAACACACACACACACCATATCCACCATTTTCTATCCATATCCTGCCTGTGTTGAGAGAGGAGGCAGACATAGATAATTCATAGGTTCTTTGAGTGGAAATGGACCTTGGCTATCAGAGTTTTAGCTCCTTCTCCCACATCACCCAGGAATTCTATTCCCTCCTGGTGTCCAGATGGTCAATGGTGCATGTCCAATCACTATCACCTATCTGGGACACCAGGTCATTGCAAAGCACCTGTAGTCCCACCTTTAGATAGCCTGGATCAGTGGTTTAGCTGAAATCCTGCTCTTTATAATTCTCACCTTTGATCCTATTTCTGCCATCTGAAGCCATATACCAAAAAACGTATTTCCTTTTCCAAATAAAAAAAGAAAGCCCTTTGATTATTGAAGAGTGTTACCCTCCCCCCAACCCCCATTAATTTTCTCTTTTTCAGGGGCAGCATAAACATATCTTTAGGTGACCTGGTTTTGGGTCTCTTCGCTGACCAGTCACCCCTCTTCTGGACACCAGTTGGTCAGTGTCTCAAAATGTGCTCTTCCATTTAAAGACTAGATCAAGCACATTAAATAATCTTACCTTCAAAGTTCTGCCCCTATGAGCAATTTGGAATGTACCAGAAGCCAGCATTGTGGATTCTTCTGTCCTCCAAAGAGTCTTCTGCCAATACCGTGGTATGAGATGTGTGCGAAAGCATTAGCATAGTGCCTAGCCCATAGGGCTCAGTAGAAGTTTATGTCCTTCTCTTTCCTCCTTTAAAAAAAAAATGGAGAAAAAAATCCTAATGAAGTGTGCCTATCTTCACATGTGTATTACCCTCTACCTTCCCCTCGCCTTGAATTCCTTTCCCACTAACAGGAAAGAACTTTATATTGTTTCCTGTTCTTTAAACAAGAATTTTTCCTTCCTTTCTCTCCCTTCTGGAATATTTAATCTATCTGGAAGAATAATGAAAATGCAACATTTAGAAAACTTCACTTGGCAAAAATGTCAACTTTCTTGTCCAGCTTTCTCATTTTTTTCTCTCTCGAGAACCATACCAAATGCATTTTACTGCTTTCATTCTTCAGATATGTTCCTAACATTATTTTTCCCAAGCCACTTAAGTGGTTTAATAGCTTTTATATTAGAGTTTAATCAAGGGGCATGATCCAGAAAACCAGTCACATTATCAAAGAGAGAAAAGAAAACTATAACCAACATTCCTTATGAATTTAGAGGCAAAAATTCTTAAAAACTCATCAAATAGAATCCATGTATATATAATATAATCCAGACCAAATGGGGTTTATACCAAGAATGCAAGGTTG